AGCTTTCCTCTCATGATAGCCCCGCGGCCACTGCATTGTTTGCTGCTCCAGCCAATACTCGTCGTGTTTTCGTACTTGTATTCATTATCAGAAAAAGGAAGAAAAGGCAATAGCTAATGTGTACAAGAGTGAGATGAATATAAAAAAAAATAATACCAAAAAAGAATAAGCGGCTCTATAAGAACAGGCTTATACTCTAGCCAAACCAATCTTTCTTTCGATGACGTCGTTTCATTCATTTCGTCTTTTACTTTTCGTTATAAATTTGCTCTAAAATGTTAAACAATGTTCCTTCTAATGCTTTTTCTTTCATTTTTTTATTGCTTTTTTAAAAATTAATGAGTATTCTAGTTACAATATTTCATTTATGTTACATTATGGAAATATAATGTTCTACTTCTGTTGAATTAGATTTATAAGGCGAGGTTCATTGTTAATGAGTATGTTACACAAAATTTGTAGTACATAATAATAATAATTATTATAAATAATAAGAAAGTGCATATAATGATTGGAAATTTCTACTAGTTATTTTATTATCCGTTAACAAGTCTTCTTTCTTGAATAACTTAAACGATTAAAGTATCCTAATCACAAGGTTTCTTGGAACAGAGAGGCATTATAATGAACTTTGAAGAACTTATAGATGTTTACAAATGTAAATTTTATTGAATAATTGGCTATTTATGAATTAAGTATGAAGATTAAAAATATACGCTGTCGGAGAATATCACAGCATTTTAAGTATGTAGAACTTTGTACACACTTAGCTTGTAAGCAAGAAAACTTGCAAGAGGTTGAAAAGCTGTGCAGTTCCCCTCAACGATAAATGCGAAAAAAGAAGTAAAGTTGACAGAGTAAGTTAGCTTGGGATAGGTCAGAATTTAACGTATACGTATGGATAGAAAAAGCTAACGTCAGCGTATAACTATACGTAGTAGTATATATGACGGCGCAAAGAGTTGCCACTCCATTATACCGTGCACTGAGTTTTTAATTAAGGAGTCTACGTTAATTCCTCGAGATTTTTCGTAGCTTTTGCTTCGTAACGTCGTAAGCATACATGCACAACAATATAAAGAAAAAAGAAATCAATACAAGTATACAACAGTAAACACTGAGGACATATAACTTTTTTATAAATGAGAAAAAAATTTAATTTTGAGCTCATCTTATTTTTAACCTCATCATCAAAATTAGAACACTTGTTTGTTGATACATTTTAAGATGGTGCGTGCAACATGTTTTATAATTATTTAAGAGTAAATAATTAAAAGTAATTTGAACTATACATATTATTACTAATGAAATAAATACTTAAAAGGCAAACAAAGATTTTCGTTCGTTTGATTATAGCTGTTATCTGAAATAAAAGAAAGGTTAGTAAAGAATTAAATGTATATGTATAGCTACGAGATATACGAACTTGTCTCGAAGGTATACAGTATACCTTCATCTTTAAAACCCCCGGTCGACAGAGTGCTCTTGCAAGTTTTCTATTCCCAAATACGCCGCGGTACTTTTTACCTTCTGGGCTTTTTCACTTTTAGATGCTTTTGTCTTTATGAAACATTTGTATATACTTGCTCATTTCGAATAAAAAAATTTTTTTCTTCGCCTCTTTGAGACTAAGAGAAAAGCGTAAAATCACCTTCCAAAATCATGAAAAAGAATTCCTAAGATACGAAATTAAAAAAAAGAAGAGTATAAGCTTGGTAAATTGAATGACCTAAGAATATAGACATACAATTATAAACAATTAATGATTTGTTTTCTTTAAATATTGAAAATAAATCAAATTCAAGATAAGAAAATTTTCCTCAATAGATCATCAATACTAAGTGAATACAAAAGCGTTTACTGCATACATATATTATTTTTCAAGCTCCAATTCAATTAAGAATTATCTTAATCTTTACTACATTCTTTTATCTATCACTTTACTATGAAAAAATAACGATTAATGCTCTATAGATATTCTGCTTAGGAAAACGTATTAGTGAATATATACGCAAATCAAGGGTATGCATAATTGAAGCAGTGACTGTTTACTCGGGATACGATGGAAGGAGTCTTTATATGTATATATATATATATATATATATATATGGAACGACGTTGCTACCTCAAGGCTAAAATTTTCTCCACCCGCTTGCATCCCTATATCCACGCGCGAGTTTATTTCTCACAATGAGAGAAAACCCGTAGCATATGTTTGTGAACGTATGGGTGAATGTTAGTCTGGCTATGCTGAAGGCTTATCCGCCCGCGCGGAATACACATGTGACGCTTGCTCTAGCTTTTTTGCTAAATAGCCCTCTCTAGTACATACTACCTATCCACTCTTACTACCCTACTAGCAATGGAAACCTAACTGCCTCCCATGCTCGAGTACATACAATCTTGTAGGATTAAAAAGCACACCCGCTTCATATGCTGAGAAGACCGAGTCAACACGCACATCGTTGTGACTTGAATCTACCTTTTTTATGGAATTTCTCAGTATCATCATCGTTACAAACTACGTTATGTATTAACTCCCTTGCGGTCTGTTTGCAGTCAAGATTTTAGTAAAACGCCGCTTCTTTCATTTAATTGCTTTCTGCTCAAAGACGCGTGTTATTGTGATTATTTTTTATTTTGTCCTTAAAAATAAATGTAAAGCGATTAATTATCAAAAAATTTTTTCATACAACGCAATATACCAGACAAAATAAATAATTAATCCTCTTTACATATGTCAAGGCCTTTCAGTACGACACTTGACTATTAAATTATTACAAAAATATATATTTGTAATAAAAATAAAATTGTAATGTAATACTATGGAATCATTAAGTAGCCTATCTTAAAATCATGAAAATTGAATTTAACGCTGACTATAATAGTGATTAGAGAAGAGAGTATTACTAGGTAAAATAAAAAGAAATGATGGGTCACCTAGAAAAACGTAGCCTTTCGTGTCACACGGAGAGAATATTGTCCAGCTACAGTTTCATGTCTGGTGTAGTCATTGTCTGTTATACGACATAAAATTTCTTCCATTTGAATGATAACATCATGCTAGTTCAATCGCGTGTCCCGCCATGGAATCTGATAACGAGTTAACCCCAGTTGGACATTTTTGTCTCATTTTTATTGTATTTCTTTGTCCACTCTTTCACCTCATCGTCATTGTTTCAACTCATGTAGCAAAAAAAATATCTTCGACCTCTTTTTCTATTCAATAATCATTTGATCAGTCAAAGCATAATTATTTTATCAATTAATAATTTCAAGAAAAATTTTAAAAATCCAAAAGTGCACGACGAATAATGCTTAATTGATTTTATGTGACACCTTCCAATTTTTTATATTGTAAGTTGTACAAAAATTTTAAATGCAAAAAAAAAAAAATAAATAATGCGCATACGGTAAAACAAATGCCAATATCTATTTATGCGTAATATTAAAGACAACGCCAGCTTAGTTTTTCGTTAATTATCATAATTAAACGACACCGAGTTAGTAAGCCATTTGCGATACTCAATCTATAGCAGGGGCAAAATGAGTTTATTAAAAATAAAAAACGGTTAACCTTGCCGGCCATCCCTGGAAATTCACGCTATGTCTAAGCTCGAAACACTTAAAAAATGCCCTATTATGAAATTTTGAGCTAGTTTTTAACCTCACTTATACGACCTTATAAATTTTCGAGCTCTTTAACTTACATTAGGACATCTTCGAAAAACTAGTCAGAATAAATTGTCAATTATTTTGAAAATTATTGATTTTTATAGCGTGAAGTTAAAAAATTACTAACAGATTTTTTCCTCATGTTTCCAAGCTACAAACCTTTATCAATTGCTTGATAGGGAAATTTTTTTTAGTTTACTGTAATTTACTTGTTTTTACTACATTGAATCAATTTTTCCGAATTATGTAATTAATCTTCATTGAAACATCTGTACAATAGTACACAAATTATGTTTTACTAATAAGAATATTACAATAAAAATAGCTGCAGAAAAGAGGCGAATAAAATTTTCGATCATAAAGTACTTTGATGTTTTGCATTATGATGAGTCATGTAAAATTAAATGGTTCTTTTTGAATTGATCATGGTAATTTTGAGTACACATATTATAATTATTTTTTAAGTTATAATGCACTCTAATTAAATAGTTTGGTATTAAATTTTAAAAATTGTGTTATAAAAAACCCCGTGGATTTTTTATAATATATAAATGTTTATTATTCCAAAAGAATTACTGTTAAAAATTATTTATTAAAGGTCAGCTTTTATCTAGTAAATATACAAGGCTATATCTTGTAGACAAAGCATCAAGAAGTAATTAAAAAAAAAGGCTGTAGAAGCATAAGTACAAAATAATGTAGACATTTCCGTACAGGAAACCATGTATTAGTATATCAGATCAAGCGCACGCTAGACTTAAAGTAAAACGCGTCGTAGAAAAACGCAAATGATGAGCCTTACGTGATTAGTTTAGTTTACTGTCGGGGGTAGTGAATAAAAACGAAGACACTATACTATATGTAGATATATATATTTCCATATAATTTTGTCTTGCTACTATTTTAATCAAATATGACATAGAGATAAGAGATTATTTTGTTTGATTAGATAACAAAGTTTCAGATCTGATAGAGAAAAGAGTTCTAGAATGAATAAATGATGCGTGGGAATCCATATTAAAAATCATAAATGATAAGATAGAACGTAAACCGTGTATGATAATATATGATGTCGAGAGTACATTTGTCCGCCTTATATCTCCGATCTCTTCGTACTCAGCCTAATTATAATCATGCTAATGCTGTGTCCGTTATTGGTCACCACCTGCAATCTTGCTAACCCTCCTGAATGAACTAGCAAGCTTCTACATAGTCTGTGTTATGTCGGACAGTAGAACGGACCAACGTTACTTATATCCAGCGACTTGCTATAATTAAGATTCAGACACACCCATGGTTACTTCAACCATCTCTTGGGGCTTAGATCAAGGGTATACTAAGCATGATTGAGGAGTGGTCAATTCCTCATTCTCGCTTACGTTCAATGTAAAAAGTTCACGAACCGTTAAGCTAATTCTTATAAAGTTTTACTATTTTTTTTAATTTCTTACTACAACTATTCAGGATTTATTCAAAATTCTAATTTATCTGTAGGACTGACTGTTTTTCTGATCAGAAATTATATTGAAGAGTTAAGAATATAATTATATATAAATTTACCTGAAGTTGGAGAACCACTTGACCAGTTGAGCGGTGTTGTTTTTGTTGAATTTTATGTCCGGGAAATACATTTTCAGGACAGCCGAGGACGGATATCTCACCCAGAAAAACATCAGCTTGGCTTTCCTCAGATGCATCGGCGTCAATGTCGACGATTGCACTGTGGTTAAGGAAATAACTGCATATGTAAGATATTTTTACAAATCTAATTCTATACACTTGATCGTATTTTTTTTCGTATAAAATTGGATTAGAAATCGTACAAGCTGAAGTACTGTGATATGATGATCGAGGGGTCTCGATTTGAGCTTAGGTTAACCTACGATTGGCCGCATCTTCAGTAGAAACCTTACTGACTCCTTACTTAGTAATGGGATATTCTACTGTGGTTTCATCGAATTCTTATTTAGTTAATCCAAATATTCTATACTCCACTTCCGTTCGATATTAAACCAAATATTATATTGACATTTTCTCATAGCTTGACTAAAATTTTCTGTTTTTTTTTTTTTCTGTTTGTTAAGCTTTTCTAAATAATTTATTTATTTTGAAATGTCAAAAAAATTTTTAAGCTTTTGAATATATCAATCAATTGAAATATATAATAGACTTTGTAACAACTTTTGAACAAGCTTACTATTTTCTCAGTTCAACTGTCAGGGTAGATTATTGGCTAAGTTAGAAGTGAAGCTCTATATGAGTAGTTCAAGCACATAGAAAAGAACTTTCGTAAGTGTAGCTCGTTGCCGGACAAACTCTATTTCTTATATATATATATATATATACGCGCGACTTTAGTATAAGTTTACTACAAACTAACTCAACGATTATTTGAGCCAACCAACTATTTTAGCTTGTACAAAAACTTTTTCACCGAGAAAAGCAGATAAGAATAATTTTTAGAAATCGTAGTCTAATTTTTTTGCTATTATGAAAAATTTTAGAGATTATGAAATTGAAATTCTTAAAGTAAATAATTATTTTATATTAGTATTACAAAAGGATATTGTAGGCTGAATTCCATCGTAGCTGATATCACCAGAGTTGCAATCACTACCCCGATCATTGCTATCCATTCTTAAATGACCGTAATCTGGACTGCCATGTTGAGCAGCGGCCAGAAGAGCAGGATGAAGCATCGCTGGTGGATGAGGAAGTGGCGGTGAATCTCGAAGATCAACTCCACCACCTGGTGGACTCGCTGGTAGATGATGAGGTCCAGGGGGTGGCACTTGACCAGGATGATTGGCGTGTGGATTAAAGAATGGTGAGTAAGGTGAGAATACCTGGCTTTCATGTAAGCTTGGATTCGGTATAGCTACACTTGTTGGTAAAGAGACTGGAAGCATTGGAGGTGCCCCGTGCCCATAAACATGGCGTGTTGGCGGTGGTAAAGGTGGTGGACTTTCATTGCCACTTTGAGACCCACTGCCTTCTTGAGCCAATATTCTTGAAACAGTTCTTGGTGTGATTCTTGTGTCAGTAACCTATAGACATAATTGACATTTTGTAAATAAAAAATATGAGAACTAAAGAAAAATATTTTTAAACATTGAACTCACCTTATGCCTTTTCTTTTTTGGCGTCATAACAAGAGATAGAGCTTCATTTTGTTCAATATCTCTTGCTTCTCTGTCATCACTTCTCATATTGCAGTATTGTTCACGCTGTTGTTCTCTTTGTTGTTGCTCTCGTTGCTGTTGTTGCTGTTGCACTTGCATAGATGACATGGCATATATCGTTGGTGGTTTAGGTGTTTGGAATATTGGAGCATTTGGTCTCGCAAGAGGAGGTAATTGATTGATTTGATTGAGATTATTTTCCGTTGGGCCTGATAATGGACCATGAGGTCCACTCATTGAACCGATTTGTGGAAAAGTTGTCGGTTGCGAAATTGGGGGGCCACCATTTAGCGACCCCCGTGGCCCGTTTGGGCCACTAGGTATCTGAGATGCTCCTCTGTCTACAACTTTTGTTCTCGGTGAAGACTTCCTCTCTAGTAATTGACTCCCATGAAGTAAATCTTTACTGAGTTGTTCAGCTGCAGCTTGTGCAGCTTCTATTGATTTACCAAGAAACCTTCTTTGTTGAATAAATTTAGTTAGTACTGCATCCACAACATTGCCTAATGTTGAAGACATCTCAGTTTTTAATAAGTCTGCAAGGCCTTCAAGGTCAGTATCGGTAACAATAGCTCCAGTAGAGCTTGTTAAGTGTGCGTTATTTCTGAACACGTTCAGTCTTTCTGGAAAATCCTTGTGCTGATGAGGTGTAACAGGAGCTTGCATTTGAGATGTTTGAGGCGTTGATGGTCCCGTATTTCTTTGAGTCGATTCTCGTCCCTGGCTAGGTGGTGGTGGCGTTTGTTGTTGTTGATGCTGATCACGTTGTTCACGCTCTCTCTGTGCCTGTTGCTGTTGTCTAGCAGCGACTTCTTGATGTTGTTTCATCCTCTCTAAAGCAGCATGTTGCTGCTCAAAATAAAGTTTTTGGCCCATGTGATACATAGCTGCTGCAGTTGCATGAGGATGATCAGGTGGCAGTGACGAGAGACCGTTAAAAGGTGGTGGGTGAGGTCTTTGTGGCCGCGGAGGTGGCTGTTGTGGTGGATTCTGCGGACTCGCTGGTTGTTCACTATTCTCACTACTCTCAGGCTCCATCCGACTCGATAGCTCGTTGTACTTTCGCTGCATAACTTCCAACTGTTCATGTAGAAGTTTTAACTGAATTTTCAAGTGGTCCTTCTCTTCGCGTTTCTGCTTTATTGTTGAAGGATCTTCTTCTTCCTCACTATCGTCATCATCCACATCAATCATGTTATCATTAACACTATGCTGTAGAACATGATGAACTGTCTGTTGTTGTGGTTGGTAAAGTTTTCTTTTTTTACAACCATTAACTGGTTGAAGTGCTGGACTACTTCGCATGGTACTGACTATATTTTCAACACGCGCGCGTTTTATTTCAGTCGATGGTGAACTTATTTCAGACTTAGGAACAATTGGACACGGAGAATGACTTGCTGAACGACTTCTCCTTAAACTTATTGTATCTGAAATTTCTTCTTTGATTAATACTGACCCAGGACGTGTTACTGTCGGACTTGGAGGTAAGCTTTGTTCACAATCCGATCCATCGAGATTGGCACCTGGCTCCATGCCAGCCTCGGCAAATGCTTCTTCCATAGCACGTGCCGCAGAAGCAGCATCTTCAGTACTATCCTCCGCATCTCCAGGCATAACAGTATCTCGGTCACTATGATTTGTATTTATATTATTCCCGTCAACACTTTCTTCCCCTCCACTCTGCACTGCCCCACTTATCGTCCGTACACTATCACTATTTTGATGTTGTTGTTGTTGTGGACTTTGCTGTTGATGTTGCTGAGATTTGAGTAACTCCGTTGTAGTATTATTGTTATTATTATTGTTATTGTTATTGTTATTATTATTGTGTATACTATTGTTATTATTAGATTGCTCTTGTACACCGAGAGCAGAAAGTTTGCGTCCTTGTAATATGTCACGTAACATGTGTTGCGTGAGCTCAGCTGCAGTCGCGGGATCATCACAATTTACGACAGCACCAGATTGTAAATTAGCAGTTTGGTCCATACCAGCTCCAGTCATTCCATGGCTGCCTTCAGGTGGTGATCCGCCAGCGTCACTGGCTTGTTTCACTTGTCTTCCAAGAAGCTCGTTTAGCATCTTGGCAGGGCCGAAGCCTGGAGCCCCGAAAAATCCAAATGCCGCGTGGGCAGAATGCTGTGTAGTTGGTCCCGTTGTTGAAACGAGATGACCTTGTGTACCCACTGCTCCAGGTTGTGATTGCAGTTGTTGTTGTTGCTGTTGTTGTTGATGATTTGGTGGTGGTCCACTTCCACTAAATATCGCACCGTATATCCCACCACCAAGAAAGGATGGCCGCGAACTAAAGTTAGGAATGCTCGAGTAGCTGTTACGCGGCTCGCCGGCGTCCACGCGCTGTCTGGTTCGCTTTTGCTTCTTCAAGAGTTGCTGTTGCTTACTATCCGCAGTTGCTCCGTAGAGGGCGAAACAGTCGGTCTCCTCCTCCGATGACATCATCGGCCGTCTGGTTGGTCGGCCCCCCGAAGGCCTCCACGACCCCTCCCCGCCAGGGCTCCTTGTCACCCCACCCCTTCTTACTCGAATAGTTTGCCTCGTGGCTCTCTACGCTCTTTCTATATTCCAATACGATCCCTTCTACTTCGCCTACCACACTCCTTCTAGAAGCTGTTCTCCCCTCTTTGCGGTGTACGATGCCTTTTCCTTCCCCAATGTCGCGCCTTCTATTTCGGCTGCTTCTTCTTCTTTGCTTGCTAAGCTATAGAAGTTTTTTTTTTTTTTTTTATTTTGGCGATTTCAATAATTTTGCTTAAAAGTCTCGTAACCAAATTTTATTTACTAGTCGGTATTCACAACACAACGAAAACAAAATTGACATCAACAGTTTAATTCTTTCTACTGAGTCCACCGCTACAACTGCTATTTTCTCCAACTGTTCTTAGAATTTCCTCTTTAAATTACACTTTCTTTTTACACACACTAATTATTTTATTTTTTAATTACTTTTATTTTATTACTGTGACCTCTCCATCTGATTTTATCGTATTTTTTTATAGCCACCTCCTTTTATAAACCCACCACTTTTCTAGTTGGGCTCTATTTACTATTCCCCACTCCGCTCTGTCCACCTTAAAGTCGACGCCAATGGCTGTCGATCACAGATTCTCAGTGGATAATGCTTTCTTAGATTACGTTTGTTATTAATCAAATGTACCGAATGGTGGTCGGGACCGTTGTCACTCCCGTTGCTATTATTTTTGCTACCTTCCCGACAACTTGAGCTCGAGCAACTTTTCACGCCCTGTAATTGATGTTTATTGCCGATCTTGTATCCGTCAATAATACCAAATGCCGTCGCAGGAAAAGGAGCTCGCGCTGGAGGACTTCTCGTGCTCCCGCTTGGGAGCTGCATCCTTCGAGTGCACCAAAGGGCTAAATGCCCCTTGCTCCCTCGTCTCGATTTTCGTTGCTAAAGTTTTTTTTATCTGAAATCATAAAGATAAAAATATATTGTTTTTAGCAATCATTAATTGGTATTCTTTTCAGTTTTACATATTCATTGAAACGGTGTATGCTAAAGCGTACTTAACAACCCTGTATGACCAATATAAATATAACTTTCTATGTCTTTTATTAAGATAAATTTTGACAATAATTTCATAATGTTAATTTTTTATGAAAATTCGATTAAAATATTAACGTTAATATATTTTCTAACTTTTTTAAGTATAAAACATACAGGTAAAAGTAGACATAAAAATAAGTCATATTTCCTTGTATTTATATTGTATAGAGGTAAACTTAAATGACAAATCAATAAGAAACTCTCTAAATCTGAAACAGTGAAAATCACTGGAAATTAGTAGTAAATTCACTGTTTCACAGTTATAAGTATACCACTTGGTAGACTTATAACTGTGAAACAGTGAAATTCCACTGATTCATTTTTAGAGAGAAAATAATTAAAAAAAAAACGTTATACACAAAAGTAAACCATGTGGTTGAAGCATATGGTTAAAGATAAGAATTAGAAACACTTCACCTATAGGACAGCTTTGAGGGGGGGCTTCTTTATGGAAGTTTATACACAAGTACATATATCTATCTATATGTGGCTCTTGCATACCCCTCTGAAATGCATGAAGGGCTCTGATGCGTGGGACTCAATGAAAAGAGAGGTATAACTCACCGGAAATGGCTTAACCAAGTAGAGAGTGTTATTGCCTCTCCTCACCCGTCATATTTCGATTCGGAAGTATGCTGGAGGGTAATTACAGGCAAAATGCTGCCATCTATTCACGCGACTCTTTTTTGCCTTGAAGTCTACGAGACGACGTGTGCTGGCTGGTACGTATTATCGCGTCAATATGAAATCATTCATTTACACACTGACAGAAAAGTCATTGAATTCATTCCCGCCGAAAGCGATATCATTTTTGGGAAATTTTTTTCAGAACTTTACACAGACATAGATAGGTTATCAAGTATAACTATAAGCTATTAAAATTTGTATTCTATGTGGCATATAAAAATTATTTTATAATCAGAATTTGAAGTTTTCTAGAAATAAGCATATAAATTTTATGTTCTCAATTCCATTACTTGAGAATAGCTTGGAGCAACAATTTCCTTTCTACTGTATAATTAACTTTTTTGATAGTTTGGAACCCCAACATAGCGCTAGGACAAGACAACATGTGCATTGGAATTAAAGCCCCCCTCCTCCCCTATAAACGTCATGTGTTAGGTAGCTGAATAGTTCGCAGGGGGTGCCTGGGAACACAATTGCGTTCAACGGTCCATATCAAACCTTTTATACTTCACTTCATGGTTTTGCTGATTACCCACACCGTGAAATAAAATTCATGACTAACTTATTGTTAATACTTGTACAAAACCTAAACCTGTACATCCTATTTTATACCAATTAATAACAAAACCATTTTTCGCGAAGTATCATTAACTGTTTTGGAAAGTGGGATTTGTTTTTATTATATTGACAGTGAACAAAAAAAATATCATTTCCAACATTATGTACAATTTTCTGTTTTAAAAAAAAACAATTTTCAAATCGCGAATCCAAATCGAATTGAAGAAAAATTTTAAACCCATATATATATATATATATATATATATATATATATATATATATATATATACTTTATACAAGGATTAAGCACACTACGTTTTATTTTATTTTACTTTATGACTACTATAATTTATTGTTAAAGGAAGTACTATTTTTCATGCAGTTAAAGATCAAATTACTGTTGTGCATATTTAACCAATAAAATTTTTTATAAATTTTCTTCCCTCAGTATTTTTAGCTTCCTTTCTGTTCCTCGCCCCGATGTTTTTCATGTCTTTCTCAACTGTGAGAAATACTAACGTCTGATATTGAAAGGTGAAAAAAATCTTGGGGTGCTCTTTAGCCTACTCATACGGAAAAGAAAATATAAAGTTCAACGGTCTTTGCCTTCATTGGCGTCGCTTTACTATTATTTAAAATCTTCAGGAGCTTGAGTGAAGTACTTATACTATTTTACTTATGATTTTTTTAATTATACTCTTTGAATCCGTAGTATTTGTATTTAGTTTTTAATATTTTACCAGATTGATTATAGTTATTTTTTAAATATTAAATTGTGATATAATACAGATATTAATTAATATGTAATAATTTGTAATCAATTTGATTTTTGTAATTTTATCTCACAATATTTTGTTATTTATGACATGCGATTAATAAACTTACATTAATAATTAAGTCACAAATTAAAATATAAATTCATTGTAAACGGTTACTTAAGAAGTTAAAGCTGTTTTCTAATAATTACATATTATTTTTCCTGGTGTAAATATCAGTAATCTCCATTCATAAATATTAATAAGATCCCTGAAAGCCGGCACCACTGTAAGTTTAAATAAGACCTTTAGTTATATTCAGGTGGCTTTTAGCACTGAACGTTGTTCCCTCAATTTAAATGCCCAGGTATCCCCTTGGCGAGGTAATTTTCCACCGTTAGGGCGCCGTAGAAACTAAGAATCAGTAAGAATAAGGTTGTAGTCTTGGGACTCTGAGCAAGGCGCGTGCCAGCTGCCTTGTCGAGGCGTAACCGACATTTTGGCTTCTCATGTTGGGGTCTTTCCAAACCCCAAGCTAAACATTGCCGTTATACCATAAACCCCTGCCCTTTCAACGTCTTGGGGGTCCCATTCGTCTAATGTCTTGGAGAAATTCAAGGCATCGTACTTTAAACCAGACAAAACCAGTTGGTAGACAACTTACAGTGTATATATACATGTCCTGTAAAGGTGGGGCAGCAATCGTTTTCAAGTTATATAATACAACGGCTCAGAAATTGCCGTTGCGACTTTTTCTTTTTTAGTAACGACACTTATTGTTATATGTGGCTCCTTAAAATTTATCCCTCGGAAATAATACTATACTATGTAAATGATAAAAAATATCAATAATGTATTTATTTGGTGATTGTAAAGTACAAGCGTACAATTGTAGAAGAAGAATAATTCTCGACGGTTATCATCATCGAAAAAATCGCATCGAAGTGAGTCCAAGTGAATGAGTCAAGTATAGAGATTGTGATTCAACGATTAGTCGCAACTGCAACTGCACGGAAACTCTTTATTTTATAAGTTACAGTATGCTTCTGAACTGTTTTTTGGTGCAGTTATACTTGCAGAAAACAAACTAGTGTATTCCATGTGACGTATTGGCATCCACAATATTCTAGGATTATAACACATTATCGTTAGTCTGGTAGCATTCTTAATGGCAAAATGCCATTTCTATGTTTCACAACTGTTTACTTTTCTCCAAATAACATAAAAATAATATAATCTTTTTTTTTTTTTTATTTTACTACATAGAAGATTACATATTTATATTCAATGGTCCAAGTTTTATTATACGGATGATCTAAATTAAATTCGTAGAGTAAAAACAAACATCGTCATCTGATTTGTACATAAGAATACAATATATAACTGTCTCGATGGAAAAATTTCTTTACATTATTTCGTCTTGAAAATAAACTACTGAGAACTCGAGTTTATTAGGGAAGCAATCTGATGCATGGTCTGATCGTTTGAGCCAATCACATAGTGATTGAGAGTAATAGACTTGCGTCTTGTCCCCCATGTCAGGGGTTCTCGTGTAAATTCAGTACTAATAGCCGTTACTTTCTCGCTGAAGGCTTATCGTGTTGCGAACTCTTGGGTTGACCACCTACGACTGCCGTAAGTGACTAGGATACAGGATGAAGGCTGTGCCCGAGTATCGAGCGAGTTAGGTTAGTTGGTATGATAATGAGGAAGGTGACTTCCGATGATCTATATACGAGAAGCATTTGGATTGTCGGGAGTAGAGATTAAGAGGGAGACCATCAGATGTAGGAGTTATGAGGTATATATTGAGGGTCCAAGAGGCGGACACTTGAATGTTGACAGCCGACTATATAAAATAATACATGATA